CTTCCATCAATCAAAGGTAACCGCACGATACCCCCAATCATTGTGGAAATTCAGGATGTGCAGCGGGAGTTAGCAGGGCGAAATAGGTTCAAGGCGGCGGGGCCTGACGGAATTCACCCAGCGATTGTACAACCGCTGGCTGACGTTATTGTGGGACCGATCTTCGAGACATTTAAAGAGTCGCTTAGGCTGGGATCTGTCCGAACGACTGGCGCAAAGCCACAGTAGTGGCAATACACAAATCTGGATCCCGGCGAAAAGCCGAGAATTACAGACCTGTAAGTTTGACATCAGTAATATGTAAGCGTTTGGAGCGCCTAGTTAGAAGACAAATATGGCACCACATGATCAATGGCGGGCTGTTGGTGTCAGCTCAGCACGGATTTCTTGAAAAGCGATCTTTCTGACAAATATGCTGNAAGGCGGCGGGGCCTGACGGAATTCACCCAGCGATTGTACAACTGCGGGCTGATGTCATTGTGGGACCGATCTTTGAGTTTTTTGAAGAGTCGCTTAGACTGGGATCTGTCCCGAACGACTGACGCAAAGCAACAGTAGTAGCAATACACAAGTCTGGATCCCGGCAAAAAGCCGTGAATCAAAGACCTGTAAGTTTGACGTCAGTAATATATGTGTTTGGAGCGCCTAGTGAGAAGGCAAATATGCCATTACATGGTCAATAGCGGGCTATTGGTACCAGCTCAGCACGGATTTGTTGAAAAGAGATCTTATCTGATAAACCTGCTGGTATTTCTAGACGAGGTCACACGGAGAATAGATGAGGGCCTACCAGTTGGGGTATGCCATCTAGACTTTCAGAAAGCATCCCACTCGGTCAGCCACCATCTGTTGGAGCATAAGATGGAATTATTGGGAGTAGATGGGCAAGTCAGGAGCTGACTAATGGGCCTTTTTGCGCAGAGGACGTTTAGTGTCAAAGTATGAGCTTACACATCCGAGGAGGAAGTGGTTACAAGCGGCGTACTCCAAGGATCCGTACTTGGACCACTGCTGTTCCTGCTATACATTAACGACCTAGCACGGGATCTCCGAAATCCCTGTTTTCTGTTTGCAGCTGACGTCAAGGTAGCTGGATGGGATCTAGCAAGGAACATAAAGGCAGTACAAAGATGGGCCGAAAAATGAGACCTTCCACTAAATGTCTCTAAATGTCAGATAGTGACGACCAGAACTGACGAAGGGAGAGCAAGGAGCCTGTCGGTGCAAAGGGTGCACGAGGCAAAGCATCTAGGCATAATGGTCACGCACAATTTCAAACCCAGCACTCAATGTGTGAAGGCCGCAAGATAAGCCAGAGGACACTTATTTCGTCTATGCGCAATGATGACATGTAGAAAACCATAGGTCTTTGTCCCTCTTTACAAAAGCATCGCCCGATTTAAATATGTTCTCCCTCACCCGTAGGCGGATGAGAGGAGACCTAATCGAGACATTTAAGATCGTCAAGGGTATATCAGGTCTAGGGTTTGACGACCTGTTCTCCTGGGCCCCGCATAGATGCACAGGGACATAACTTGCGGTTGCAGCGAAGCCACTCCAACCTGCAACTTTTCGTTTTCACTAACAAAGTAATTCCGTTGTCAAACCGTTTGCCGCTGGCAGTGGTAAGCTGCAGTACTGTACATGCTTTTAAAAAGGCACTTGATGAGTGTTCGATAGCGGGTTTCCCTGAGGCAAGCGTTTAGTACCATCTATAACCTAACCACATAGGATGTGATCCTGCACCACATATTTTCTTCCTTTCAAAAAAGTTGCATATCATACTATTGGAAGCCAAGGAAAGTCACCGACGACACACAAATCTGGACGCTAGATTGGCAAGAGCCACAATTCGTTCTGTGAGAACTGAACTGAACTTAAAATAGTGCATTACAATAGCGGAGTCGGTCCAGAACGTGGCGCGAGCTGGGAATATACGGAAGCACTGTCGCAACTGCTTGGATATACGCACTGCTAGCAAGGCCGCGGTCATTTTGAGGCGGGGTTTTGAAACGCATTTCAATGGGGCGACACGGGCTTTAGCAAAAAGTAATTCTGTCTTGCGCTCGCCGTTCACGTGCTGCCAACATACGTGGGCTACTGCTCTGTATCCCGTTTCAGACGCGTCGGAGAATAGGTGCAGTTCGACCTTCGTCGCTTGACTGCTCCGGCTGAGTCCGTATCCCATCTAGCCTACTGAGGCTAGTTAACCATTGCTCTCAATTCCTCCGGTCCTGCTCATCTAAGGGTTGATCCTACTCGGCCCTTTTTCGACACAGTTGCTGAAGGAGGACCTTTCCCGGCAACAGCCACGGCGCGAAAAAACCAAACGGGTCACATAAGCTGGATACCGACGATAGTAGTGCTCATCGGGTGAGATTCCTCTCGGGCAGTTTTAGGTGAAAGATGAACTCGTCGGACTCCGTGCTCCATCGCACTCCCAAGGTCGGCTCGATAGAGAGTGGCTGTGTGGTCAGGTTGAGAGCCCCACTTGCTTTGTCAGTTTCGGGAACGTTGTCTTAGACTAAACGTGAATTAAACAACCATTTGGTTAAACGGAACCCCCCTTTCTCCAGTAGATACTTTAGCTAACTTACATGTTGTGAGGCGTCGCTTGCGTCGCCAAAGGCATCCAGGAAGTCGTCTACTTAGAAATTATTCGCAACGCTAGCTGACATTGAGGCCGGTAAGTTGTCTCCGTATTGCGAAGCTCTCCGCCGAATCACGAAGTTTGTGCAGAAGGGCGAGGAAGCCGCTCCGAATGGATGAACGGTCAGTCTATAGATTACCGCCAGGTTCTGAAAGTCACCATCGGGCCACCATAACAATTGCAGGGCGTCGCGCTGATCCTCTGGTATCTTAATTTGAAGCAACATTTCTTGTATGACGGCTGCCACTGCAACTGCTCCTAGCCGGAATCGGTTGAACACATCAATCAAGGGAGTGGCCCAGTCCGGTCCCTGCAACAGACAATCGTTAAGGGAGAGACCGCCGTACAGTCGAATACTACGCATATCTTTTTTGGCTTTCTGGGGTTTGTTACCGAGTGGTGTGGCAAGTAACACAGTCTTTGACCGCGTGGTTGTGAAACGTCCAACCGTTGTATGTATCCTAGTTGCACGTTCCGTTGCACTGCCGCAGTGTATTGTCGACGGAAATCTGTGTCGCGGATCAATCGCCTTTTAAGGTACTCTAACCGTTTTAGNTATCCCTTGGTTGTTCAGCAGTCGGTAATATCCCATCCTCCATGGCGACGGCACGTCGAACCGGTCGGGCTGGCCTTTTGTCCCCGTTTTGACTATTGCTAACGCCTTGTCTTCTACGGAAGGGCCCCTTTCTGGTCGTTCAAGTCGTCGAACTCATAATCGTACAGTCGTTGGAGAGCTTGTTCGATCGTATCGTTATCAGCGGTGGTGTTGGTGAAGTTAGCTGATAACGGCTTACCGTTTGCCGTATGGGACGGTTCAAACAATGTTCACCCAAAAATGGTGTGAGCAGAATATGGTTCTTTCCTGCCGCCCAGTCTCTAGTCCAGGACCTAGTGTGCTTCTGGCACACTGCATTCTATTGGCAAATCGACTTTGGGGGAGTCGGCTTCTTCGAAACATAAGTCTCGCAGGTGCGGCCAGCGCATTACTAATTCCCCGATCGATTCCACTGCTCGCATCGGCAAATCGGCTATTGTGAAACCAACGTGACATTTGCTTGATCGGTGGAAGTCGCCTTGATACCGTTCATCGTGCTGATCGTCAGGGAAGATGGGAGGGTTGTGATACTTTCTAAGGCGACGCGCTTGGTGATCAACGTGGTATCGGATCCGTTGGCTATGAATGCCATCGCCTTCACCCCCACACTGGGTGTTAATGTGCCCACTGATGTTACCCCGAGACGTACCTGCTTGTCCATCAATTGAGCTAATAGTCCTACCCCGGGGTTTTTCTGGGTGCCAGTAACTGAGTTTCTCGTTTAGAATGTAAGAGAATATGGTGGCTTTCTTGACATCCCCTTTCACTGCATCTACCATGGTTCCTACAAGCGGCTGCACGATGTGAGCTGTTTAAACAGACAAAGCACGCACCATGCTTCTTAGCTGCTTCCCAACGGTCCGGAACTTCTAGTTGCACAAATTTTTCACACACGTGATTCAAACGAAACATAGGGCAACTGGATTCTATTTCACCTGTTCACCGAGCTTGGCAATTTGTTTGCAAACGTTTTGTCACCAGCCGAGGTGACATCATCAGTGACATCATCACAAGCATTGATGATGTCACCTCNCCTCGGCTGGTGACAAAACGTTTGCAAACAAATTGCCAAGCTCGGTGAACAGGCGAAATGGAATCCAGTTCACCCGAGCTACGAGAACCACTTTTCAATACTTTGTCAATAGGGCAACTGGGTGTGCCACGTTCCCCTAATGTTGCATGGTTGTTTGCGTTTCTAGACTTTCTATGGATCTCGTAGATTTGTTCTTTGGCGTGGTGTCTCCCTTCTCGATGATCATGCTGGCGAGTTGTCCGAAGCGACTGCTGGTGACCTTGGCACGGTTTTGGGAGAATTTCGTTAGCTCGGTGAAATTCGGTTCCCTCCCTAAACGGCCGATGATCACCGCCTCCTCCACCCATCACTGTTGTATGTCAGCTAGCAGGCATCGTACTATTGCCTCTAGGGTGTGTATTGCATTCAAATCAGCTTCGTGTCTCATTTGAGTCAAGTCAATGAAACAGTTTTGCATCTTCATTACCAATCGTACCAACGATTCGGGTTCGTTTCACGCTTTACGGACCTCGACTAGCGCCCCGTCTATGAGCGTCCGTGCCACGTGAAACGGTTGGCCAAACAGTTCCTTCAGGATATCCCTTGCTCCGCTATACCCAATTTCGTTTGGCAGCATTACACATTCTTTGATAACGCCTTGGGTCTTCCTTAGGCAATAATGCTTCGGGTACAGAATTTTCTGCTCTGGATCGACCCGACATTCGACGAAATTATCAAATTTTCTAATAGATCTTCAATAGTTGCTGGGGTTTCCGTCGATTGACGTTAGCTTCACCTTGAGCAGGTCTATTGACGTGTGGCGGTACATTGCGTCAATCGGTGGTTGAGTCACCTCCAGCGTCAGGGTTTTGTTTTTCTGTCGCGGCGTCCTCAGTCGAGCAAGGTTGCCTAGCCCCTGATTTCCTGAGCTTCATTGACCTAATCTCCTGTTCTAACCTTGCCATCTTACAGAGATATATATCAGACAAGTTGACATCGGCATCAAAATCTCGGGCACATGAACTTCTAGCAATAACAGGACTAACTGAATTAGAAATATGAGAACAAGAAACCCCCTAAATTCCCCAGTGACTTGCCGGGTTACTCCCCGTCCTTCCCCCTTAATTTTCCTTGCACGAACGACATTCTTTTGTTCCACATTGTGCCTCCCGAAGAGACTAACGAGTAACATGTAGCCGAAATGGGATCCCAAAACGTCAACAAAATGAACGATTCAGCAAGTTTCTACGGTAATACAATAATGAATGATCAAATAAGCAAATAAAAACTGTACGAACTTCAAAGTGATCTCGAAACAACTTGAACACAAAAACCAAGTGTTACTGTGAGCGTAATTCAACAGATGTTAACCGAAGAAAATGAGTCTGGACAAGAACAGCACGCTCAACTTCACACTGCACACGAATGAGCCAAATTTGAGCGCTCAGGTCGTGATTAAAACAAGTAGGGTACGAATGAAGCAAATAAACAAATAAAGTCAAATGGTAGGATCCATGTATAAATATACAAAGGGAGTGGAACGTCAAGTGGTTATGTATGTATGAGGCGGATGATGTTAGGTGACTGGAACTTGAAATTCACGAAATGTGGAACCGAGATAGATTGACTGGGCTTTACAGGGAGGATTTTCACGGATTGATCAATGCTCAGGGTTTTCCACTGTCTGTCCTGTATACTTGCTGAGAAAAGCCACCTAGCGCTTCTGTCTTTTGTCATTCGGCGTTCGCCTCTATACCCTGTTTATCTCTCACGCGCTCCACTCCACTTCTGAGGCATTTCTTTGACTGCACGTAAGAGAAGTATGCCTTTGGGTTACATTTTTAGCTAACCTATTTTCATGTGCATGCTTGCATTCCATTTGTATTCGAGTGGCTTGCTTTTAGGCCGCCAGCTACTTCAACGACTGCGATAGCCACCTCAAGCCTTTTAGCATCTCCAGGCCTCTTTCTTTCTACTGTTATCCTTATGCTCACGGAATCTCCACCACGGTGGGGTTTCAGTCTTCCTGAGCCTTCGAATAGGTGCAAATTCGTTGGTGATGTTTAGAAGGTTCATGCTAATCACTTCCTAAGGGACCTGCTCGGAGCTCTGTTCCGCCGTCCAGTTTAAGGACGAAGCTTTTCTGATGAGTTCTGATTGATTTATACTGTTGAAATTCTTTCTCCTCTTGTCGGGCACGCAGACCCCTTCTAAACTGTAGGCTAGGCTTTCCATAGTATGGTCACTTTCAACTGATGCTGCTCCTATCTTGATCCCCCTAAATAAAACCTCACTGCAGCGGCAAAACCCAAGACGCCCTGTTACCAAATGAATTAGCATATGGCAGAGCAAAGGATATCCTGCACGGTCTGACGCATTTGTTCGATTACAGTTGTACACATCGCTCCCCTTGAACGCGCAACATCAATACTTGATACATACACAGAAGTACAGACATACATGTAACTCCCGAAAAGATCAACGAGCGACGTGTAGCCGAAATTGGATCCCAAAGCGTCAACAAAACGAACGATCCGGCAAATTTCTA